CGGCGCTACGCGCGCGGGCGGCCCCGCGGGCCCCCAGGCTGCCGCCGTGCCAAGGTTGAAACCTGGTCCTCCATCCACAGGTTCTCTCTCCGCCCTCCCTCCACCTTGGTTCGACGCGCCCTCCCCAACCTCGTCCTCCTCAGTCGCGAATTCCTCTTCCTCCTCTGCGATGGCAGGCAGCGACTGAGGCAGGGCGGTGGGGGCGGCGGGTACGGATTGCCAGGTGAAGTTGGGAGTTGTGATCGCTTGGCGTTTTTCGTTGAGGATGCGCACGCAATCACGGTTGGNGTCACTTATTTATCGGGTGAGACTGTTTTGGTGATGTACTAACTTCACGAGAGGTAAACGACCGTCCTTCACACGGACGAAAGAGGGAGTGCTCAGAGAGCGGCTCCCACAGCAAGGAAGGGCCCCGTGAATCATCGCGGCGCCCCCTACCAAACGGCAATCTCACCAGTCTGCGTGACACAAAATCATCCAGCACATGTATCCAACACCAATGTTCGCAGACGAACAGTTTGCACTTCCTGTGTTCGAGATGCGGGTGTGTTTTTTTGCGTGAGACGGGGAATACCCCTCAAAACGCTGCCGGGCAGGGATTGGCGGCCCTTCGATCGAAGATTGAATCGTGCTGTTACCACGGCGCCGCCACTATTTTGCGTCTAGGTTGTGAATCACGACGTCGATTGGTAACCCTACGTTGTTGTCTTGTTGTTGCCTTTCCTCCTTGTGCACCCCTTTTTAGTCTGCCCAGGGGGCGGGGCGCGCGTAGACGTAGTGGAATATATTTATCTCTACTGTGTTCCAGCCCTTCGAGCAGCGCAAGTGAAGCATGCTTGCCGTGCAGCTACCACCAACAATGGTGGTGTTGTGCCATGGTTCTTTTAGCATGTGTAGCGCCGGGGGGGTATACACGGGTTCTATGTTGCCGGCATTCTCTAATGTCCTGCGTTTTACGCAGGCGCGCGCTAGTTTGACTAGGCATGTATTTGCCCTTCCTGGTATTTCACAGCAGCAGTGATGGGAACGTTGGACGTGTTTACCTCCCATGTGTGTGCAAGTGCCGCAACGTTTCTGCCAGTGGACGAAAGTATTGTCGTTTGGTCCTCAGCAGGGTTGGTTTTGCTTTTTGCTGTGGATGGATTGGTGATTTGGCATGTATTCCTAAAAAAAGCCGTGCTGCGGTCATAGTTATAGCAGCACGATTGGTTTTGCATTTTCCAACGTTGAATGCATGGTTCAGTGCCCCAGGTGAGGGTAGGGAGACGACTGACATCGGGTTTTATTATGACCGCTGCTTTCACATTCATTCGTGCTCTATGTGAACGATCCCGTTTGACCCGCGGAGCTCATAGTGCGCCAACGCATGTGTGTCGATGTCATACTACAGCAGTGGACGGACTCTTGGATCATTGTTGATTCATACTTGTAGTCTCAGTGCCGCAACGAATGTTTGTGCGGACGAACATATTGATAGGTGTTTTCCTCCTCACCAGAGTGGTTTTGCTTTGGTAGTTGTGTACCTCCGGACGGATCTAGCATGCATTCAATGAAGGGCGGTGGTCCGTGCTACATGTGGCAGCACGAAGGTTGACATATTTCGTATTTGGGGTATTATTTCTAGCATGTCGCAGTGTGGTGACATTGTCGGGTTACGGCGAAGGTCAGATGCTATTCGTCCTGTCGTTTTTGTCTTCTTGTTCTGTCCGCAATGAATGCACATGTGTTCTTGCGTTATTTCGTAGGGAGCTGAGAGTCTGCCACTGCACGTGTTCCACCTTTCCTGGGAATTCACAGCAGTATCGGGGCTCTTGGACATGTTTTCCTTTAATGCGTGTGCCAGTACCGCGAAGATTCTCCCTGTGGACGAACGTACTGGCATTTCACTCTGTAGTTGTGTGGAGGGAGGATTTCAATTGGAGGATTTGGCGTGTAATCCCAGAACGCGTAATCCCGTGATAGTCAAGAGGCTTGCATGTTTCATATTTTGCATTTTGCAGTGCCACGTTGACGGGTGTCAGGGGAGATCGGACTACAGTATACGCCATTGGTCCTTCCTCGATCACTTGTTGTCGGCATCAGGAGGGGGTGTACTCATAGTCCAGCATGCCGTAGTCGTTAGACCATTGACCTCGCATCCCTACAAAGCCGGGACGGAGCACGCCGGATTCTCACCGGACCAGGCTCCCACATCATCAAGCGCGAAGCGCCGTGATATATTCGGCGAGTCGCATGAAGGGTGCGCTGCATCCTGCTAAGGGTTTTCGGCATCTTGTGCTTACTTCCTTGCGTACGGATGACAGCTGCGTATGACTTAATTTATTTTCTGGTGCTTTCACTTCCAGAGACAGTTGTAAGCACTGTGTAACTGCCTCGAGGGTGCTTGACCATTTTAACACAACGTGGTGCGATCATCCCCCTTGCGCGGAGTGAGGGTTCTTCACCCCGCACAACATGATCTACTCGACCACCATGATCGTTACCGCCAAGAAAAAACAGAGGTAAAAATATACAACGGTAT